GGGTAAATCTTTATAGATGCGATGAAAAAGGTCTGCCAAGCTCAGCTTAAATTCTATATTCCTAATTCTATTACTTGAATATAGTTTATCAATTGTTGCTTTGAAATATCCATATCGATACGCCTTGATAAGAGGTAAATAGGGGAGAAAGGTGAAGAGATAATGAATGTGACAACAGGGATGTCTGCTGCTTGATACGTCTTTCGAGACCACACGATCCATATCCGCCAATGTATATACGGAAATATTGTCGTGACGCACTTATTCCATATTTCAAAATAGATTTCGTTGCATTTTTGTACGCATGTTGAATTATAGATTCAAAAAAATGTATCATCAAGCTTATTTGACCATTAGATTTTCTTTCAGTTTAGTACTAATTCTAAAAAGAAGCAAAGGTCTATAGAATTATATAGATCTATCTTATTCAGTTGTTGAAAGATGACTCGATCATTGGCACAAAAGATGTTTGCCATTACACTTTTTATGCAAAAATATTCTCATTTAATGATTTCATCAACTAAACTAGCAAAAAATCCTAGTTGTTTTTGTATAGTCCTACCTCTAATTATTCTAGTAATAACACCTGTGTGATATCAAATAAGAATAAGTATTCAAAATTCTTCAAAATTCGTTGTACTGCTCATACAGATGTCATAAAGCATTCGATTAATTTGTTTTCCATCCATAAAGTAGATTTCAAAGCTAGCTGAGAGAAACTTAATGAGTATTTTTCAATTAAGAGAAATCAAAAAAGTCACAGCGTAAAAGGTTGCTTTTTGCCTGTAAACTTCTTCAGTTCATATCATAATAATGTCCAAAGCCGCTTTAATTTGCTACTATAATGTCTTACGTATCCCTACTTCATTACAATAAAGGCGGTATAAGTTAAAAATGAATTTTCCTTATGTAGTAAATGCTATTGTCAGTCAATTGAATCAATTTTGAGCGACAGAAATGTAAGCGCTACATAAAATACGCAGTAGCACTATAATTATAAAATAATGAAGGAAAAGGGAGGAGCACACTGTGATCAGCTGGATGGGATGCGAGTTCCCAGATGCAATCTACGTTATAACCGCTAATCTTATGCTACGTTCCCACCAATATTTGCGCATAGTTTACGACACCTTTACGGCTTATTAATATTTATGATTAGTATAAGTATCTTATCAACTAAGACTTGTCACAACTATTAGCACAAATGGCGGAAAGTGCAAAAGATAGACTGGTCAGAATTGCAAATAGAACCTAACACCTCACAATAATTTTTATCCTCAGAAGGTAAAACCTTCAGAGGATAAAAATTATTGTGAGGTCTTAGGTTCTATTTGGAGCTAAAAATGAAATTTAATGATTCACTTAATTTCTACAACCCATTCCGTAATTTTCGAATCTGTAACGCTTTTAAATTATTATTCTTATCAATTTGTTTTGTTCAAAAAAACTAAGGAAGAAATTTCCGCTTCAACGTTAAAATAAGGTTTAGCGCGATCTTCTACCTCCGATTACCATATTAAGGATCAGAGGTTAGTGGATTCCTGAAGTCAGTAAAAGGTGGTGCATTGTAGATCTTCTTCCATTAGAAAAATTCTGCCAGATAAAGGTAGATATTTTTCTAATCTCATTTTTCCAAATTCACGAAATCATAAGAAATCGAGATATGTGTCAAAAGGTTAAATTTGTTGGGCTCGGCATTTTTCTCGCTCCATAGATGTAACGTTTAGGTCTTGAAGAAAACTAAGACCTCAACATAAAGGTCGGATTTATCAAATGTCATTCAAAGGGCTG